TTCTTTTCTTCAACAGAGTCTTGCTCTGTTGCCCAAGCTATATCTCTGTTTCTTAAAGGGCAGCTAACCCAATTATTTTCACTTTCTCAATTTTCAACTGTGGTGGCTTGGTAATGCCTCAACATAGAGAGATGAACCCTTCTCTGTGCATCTCAAGCTTGGGTAGAAGGGCACTAGGGAGCAACTGGTAAGAGAAAAGCATCAGCCATTTTTTAACCCTCACACACTTGTGGCTTATCTGTTAGCTTCACGTACCTGGGATTATCCTTTGGCTTCTAGATTCTTCAGCCAGGTGTGTATGTATTTAACTACTGATGAAGGGCCCAATTTCTGCAGGAAACATAGGCCATCAAGGTCACAGGCCATGAGAACTGACATGGGTTTCAGTCTGTCATTATAATACGCTCCAACTCATGCTTGTGGTTTCTAGCTTCTTCCTGCTTTCACCACATGAAATCCATTTCCCTTCCTCATGTGCTGCTCTGTGGATGTCCAGCTCCAGTCTCAGACAGGACAACAGCCTTCAGAGTCTACTTAGCCAGCTCTCATAATTGCACAAAGTCAAATCCCTATAACAAATCTATCAATCAGTCTATCTGTATTCTAGCCATTCCACTTTTCTGATTGAGCCTTGACTGATATAGTACCCATTACTCACTTTCTGACGTTAAACTCTTACCTCTTCACAAACTGTCTTCTCACTAAATGTTTTATTTTCAATTAATTAGAATTGCAACCTGTTCCTTGGCCTTGGTAGAGAAGAGGGTGTTTATTTGAGTTTTGCATGTTAAAACTAGGACCAGCTAGCAAACTTACTATACTTGAAAAAAATGCCATAATTCATGAATGCATGGTCCAGCAATTTCACTCCTAGGTATATACCAGACAGAAATTCATATATATACACACATGTACATACACATACACACACACACATTATATATATATATATACACACATACATTATATATACACACACACACACATACACACATACATACACACACACATATTTATGTTAAAAGGAAAACCTTAGATAAATGTAACAGAGCTTAACTAAGAAAAGATATATTTAAGAATCTGAACCAGAATTGGTTCAGAGACACTTTGGCCTGCCTCATGATTGAAGAAGGTTTGTGAACAGAAAAAGGAAAGTGACATATAGAAAATGGAAGTGAGGCACAGAAACAGCTGGATGGAGTACAGCTTGGCATTTGCTTTGTTTGAACACAGTTTAAATAACTGGCTGGCTTTTATTGGCTGAAACTCAGTGATTGGCTCAAGAGCAGGTTACAGTCTGTTTACCCATCCATTTAGGTTACAGTTCACTATGTATGAATGAAGTGAAAATGTTAAAGTAATATAAATATTGAGTATTCAATACTTACAGAAAAAGCAGACATATCCTCATATGAAGCATATACTCACTAATCACAGAATTTTGTAATCCCTGGTTGTAGATGTGTTGGGTGGCAGCACAGAGCCATCTGCAGATGCCTAGCAAACAGATAGAAAAAATAGTAAGCATAACAACCATCACCAAATGTGTATGTTTAACCCAGACAACCAAGAGTTCAGGTTTAACCATTGAAAGCTTTCTTGTAATTGTTGAAAGGTACTTGTTTGTAATTGCTGCGACCGTTTTTCAAGTTGTCTCTTTAATTCATGCTCAAAAGTGGAAATTTGAGAAGACAAATGGTTGTGATATGCCCCTGCAGATGTGCTTTTCTAAATAACTGCCAGGTGGGATCTCCTTCCCAATTCCAGGGTAAATTTACAGGCAACCACAATTCTGCACACTCTTTTAAGATCATGACATCAGTTATATTTAACTGTCCAACGTTTTGAAGAGACAAGCATGTAGCATACCAGCTACTAGAAGAGACTTTAATACTATAAAAGGATTGATTCTGCTCTGTTAGGAACACCTTGCCCAAACAAAAGTATATAAGGGTGTGTGGTACAAATCAGGACTGTATCAGTAACATTATTGTGCAAAGAGAGGGTATAGTTGCCACCAGTAGTAATGTACTCACCATGTGAAAGAACCTGTCTCCAAATTTGGATATGAGCAGGGCTTAAAGCTTGTTTGCCTTTAGTTTTAATATTGGTCTTGATAGTCCATACTCTGACCAAGTGATAGAACTATTGGAGGGACTCCTAAACCCAATTGTCTGATTTGCAGACACAAGATAACCATGAGGATCCCAATCAAGTAAAGTGCCATTATCAGAGGCCCTTGGTGCCGTGCAAGTTGTCTGTACAGAGGCCAACGGACGACCTCAAACTTATATCACCAGTCCCTACTAGGATGGCACATAGGAAGATCAGGCACTTGTGTAGCTTCATTAGAGTCCTCAGTAAGATTAGTGTTAACAGTAGAAATAAAGGTCAAATTTGCATACTTACCATCCTTTTTAGGCTGATAGTACAGACATGCCTGAGGAAAGAGAGTAACAAACTTATGTGCTATTGTGGAAAAACAAAAAGGGGATTACTAGGCAATAAAGTCAAGGAGCCATTAAGTTTAATCCATCTCAAATTTTCAGTTAAGGGGTACCACGGGGACATCCATGGACCTCCTGTTGAAGAAGTATCATTAGATGACAAAGACGGGTCAGCATCCCACCATGTAATAATGTTAAAAACAGGGGGACTCAGAACATGACTCTAATAAACA